ACCCTAATAAGGATATTGGAATTAAATAATATAAAGGTACTATGTGATAGTCTGAATATTGGTGTAGAATGTCCTGATACCTGGAATGTGTGTGTGTGCTGGCTTCTAGATGCTCAGCTTTGTTCTAGACTAGAGAAGATCCAAGATGTATCTATTATTTGGGGCTCACAGATAACAAAGTTGAGAAAACCCCAGTAGGGTAAAGGATATAGTCTAGAGTTCACCTCCTGCAGCACCTTTATGAAATGAAAGAGACAATTTCCTAATAGCAAAGATGCTGAGCAGTCCAGACAACTCCACCACATCAGATAACTGACCCAAATAAATGAATTGTTTCAATAATATTTGTCATTGTTTCTTGCCTAATTCACAAAGAAATTGAGAACCTGAGTAGTTCAGCACCCCAAATATCAACAAATGTTAACTACAGAGAATAGTTTTCATCATTCTTTCTACATTCGTGGTACCTACCCTTGGCGTCTATAGATTGAAATTTTAACTTCCAGGTGTTTGTAGGTAGTCTGTGACTAGGCTGAGGCATTTCCGTGAGTTGCACTGTGCGGTGTAGGACCGATTTCCCTTGTCACCGCTGGGTTCTTCCTTGTTCTCCCTCGCGGGGACCCATCTCCCTCCGCACTGCTGGCTTCTCTCCCTGCCCTTCCACGCGGGGACCAGTTCTCCGTGGCAGCTTTAGAGGCATCGCAAACGATTTTCACTTAGACTTTCTCGTATTTTAGGTGTCCTGTGCCTCAAGTCTTCTTACTGCTAACGTCAGTGACCTAGTCTGCTGTGCTCCTATCTTTAGTCCTTCTATTTTGCTGGCTTTTTTTTTTTTTAATTTTTTTAATGTTTTATTTATTTTTAGGAGAGAGAGAGAGACAGCGTGAGCAGGGGAGGGTCAGAGAGAGAGGGAGTCACAGGCTGAAACAGGCTCCAGGCTCTGAGCTGGCAGTCAGCACAGAGCCCGACGCGGGGCTCGAACCCACGAACTGCGAGATCATGACCTAAGCGAAAGTCGGACGCTTAACCGACTAAGCCACCCAGGCGCCCCTTTGCTGGCTTTTTAAAAACACTACTTTGCTAACTCATTTTGGTTGTTTTTCATTGTAAACCCCTAAATATCTACCTTATTATAAACCCGTATCTTTACATTTTTGTGATTTTCCTTTTTAATTGGAAGAATTTTCTCACTTATGTTATCTGGTACATTTTTATGAAAATGTTCATGAAGCTACCTTTCCACTATTTATAATTCAATTCAGCTCTTAATTATGTGCCATGATAGAGGAGGGCCATGACACAAATCATAATCTTTGAAAACATAATTTGGTTTAAGAGTGAATTGATGAAGTTTTTCTCTTTTTGAACATCAACTTTATGATTATAATTATGTTTTGTTTAGATTAAAGCTAGTTTAGTGTAAAACTAATTTACATTGTTCAAAACCACACCAAAAGGTAGGAAAGGAAGTACGATGTTAGAGGCCAAGGAATAATGACAATGGGATCAATAGGAAACACGGTTTAATACACCAAGCTCGTTCCTTCCTGTATTAATTTATTTTCTGCTTTAAGTGTTGTAATTGTTTGAATATGTGAAAAAAGAGATTGGACAAAAATTATTAAAAAGATGGAGGACTGTCATTTCTCATTTCAACTGTTAATACCTTTTTAAATGGACTCTACTTGGTATCTTCTAGAAGGGCCACTTATAACCTTTTTGTTTTATGAAATCAAACATTTTTTCCCACAAGGATCTAAAATAGCCATTATTACATTTGGAGCCTGACCCCTATGAAAGATGACTGCATGTCGTTCCCAAAATTTTTAAAAGTTGGCACTGTCTTACATGATTTCTGGGCACAATGTGTTTATTGGATTATTTTTTTCCATGGGTATTCAAAATAGGTGCCTGTTATTGAATTGGGAAAAAACAGCATTACTGTAAAACTGATTACAGCTTGTACTGGAAAGAATCTTACCATCTAATTGGAAGTATATTTCCAGCTGACCTATTTAAAATTCCTACGAGCTATTTTTCTTTCCAGCTTTCAAACATCAAATTCATTCTGAGGTCAGTTTGGTTTATCTAGGGACCAAAGAAATGAATAACTTTGGTTTTGTGTTCTCCTCAGCACTTGTCTTAAGGAAGTATTTACTGAATATTTTAAGTGCCACCATGATTACTACTTTGTAGTGAATATTTGCATTGGATTCAAAATAATCTTCTGAGAAATCATAATTGCTGCTTCTCAGCCCAGTCCCCACTGGTGCTTTTATTAACCACATAGTATCTGATAGAGCAGTGTTTTTAAAAAGTGTGATCAATGGATACATGTGGTCTGAAGAAGGTTTTGTTTTACCCTGTGATCTTTTGTCACTGTTTAGTCTTATGGGTTATAATTATTTTGGATGTCATGTTGGTTTAACCTAAACCTCATGGAGTGTTTTATCAAAAAATCATACCATTTTCTTCATTGTTACTTTTTTTTGCAGTGGCAAGAAAAACCAATGGTTATCTTGCCCCTCTAAAGAGGCCCTCAGGGAAAAAATTCTGAGCTTTAAGAGTAATAAAAGGCTTACCGTGTTTTAATCTTTCACAATTATTTAGGAAATGTTTGCTTTAAATATCTTAAGACCTTTCTGAATATGTTTCTAATTATTATTAGCGGAATTGTATTTTCACAGTGTCGGTATCCTTGGTAGACACTGAACTGAACCGGCATAGGGAGGAAAGGAAGAACCTATCGGTTTCGTCATTGAACTCTTTTTCTAATATGCTGCTCCTAACTTGGCTGCTATTGCGCCGACCCCTTACTATCTATTGTAAGCAGTGGCGGGGCTTCCTCCCGATTGGTCTTTCTGACAAGTCTTGCCTTCCTCCACTTCATCCCTGTTACTTAGAATTCCGTGGCTGATAGCTGCCACCGTACCTATTCAAGATCAAGTCCATACTCTAAGGGTTGTTCTGTAAGGCCCTTCCTTATTTCTTTTGGCACTCAAACATAAGGAACTACTGTACTTTCCCAAAAGCCCAAAAGTCTCTTGTATGCTTTGCTAATTGCTGTTTCTCCGATTCAGCTTTAGCGTTACTCCGGTGTTGATTCTTCTGTGAAGCTTGTTTGTTATCATCTTTCTCCTTGTAGCCGTTTTCCCTTGTGTTCCTTGTCAAAACAGAAACAAACTTTGACTTTATACTTAGAGAACTACCAAAGCTCTCATATTTGATTTAAGCCTGTGCATTCTTGTAGCTGTAATAGCTATCCGTGGTATTTCTGTAAGTGGATCAAGGGTGAGAGGCGGAATGAATATACAAATGGAGAACGGCCTTAGAATCCAGAAAGCTGAACAATAACTGATGTAACAATCAACCCTCAGTGGCCACAACTTCATCAATAACTGTCAGATTCCCTAATTTTCATCCTTACTTCCAACTTTAAACCAATCAGAGCAAGCCAAATGTGCGATCCCAGCCAATCACAGAGGAAGCGCACTCACGCCAGCTTCCCAGGCCCACAGCTTCCAGTCGGGGCACACCTGAAGCTGTCCCTTTTCTCCACGATGAGGACTTCCCACTCTCTACCCTAACGCGGGAAGGGTCTGCCTGAACAGTGATGGAGGGTGACTCCCTTGCCTCTAGCAAGCTCTAAATAAATAGACCTAACTTTTCTGATTTATCATTTATTTCTATATGAGGGAAAACCTATTTTATAATTATTTACATCTGAAGTGATTTATGGTGAGTATAGTTTATAAACTGAATTTCCTGTGCTAGCTGTATTTTGTGATTTTCTGCATCTTTCACAAACATAGAGGTTTATATTCTAAAGGCGAAGACAGGTTTTTGTTATAAGGATTTTCTTAATTCCTTACATTTAATGGAAAAATAACAGAGAAATCTGTCACTTGATAGTAACAAACAAAATCCTAGTCAAATATTAATCTTGAGGTCTTTGTCTTGGATATAGTTATTCAGAGTTGGGGTTTTTTGGGGGGGTCGCCTGGGTGGCTCAGTCAGTTAAGCTTCTGACTTAGGCTCAGGTCATGATCTCACAGTTTGTGAGTTCGAGCCCCGCGTCAGGCTCTGTGCTGACAGCTAGCTCAGAGCCTGGAACCTGTTTCAGATTTTATATCTCCCTCTCTCTCTCTGAACCTCCCCTGTTCATTCTGTCTCTCTCTCTCTCTCTCTCTCAGAAATAAAACATTTAAAAAAAACTATTAAAAAAAAAGAGGTTTTTTTGGTTAATTAAACCATAATTTTTTTTAAAAAAATCAGTACATGGAAGAGATATAAACATGAAATGCAAATTAGTTGTATTTGGGTTTATTTTTATGTTGAGCATCCTTTTATTCTTGTTTTTAAAATATTAGGTGTGCATGTTGAATTTTATTAGACAATTTTTGCATCATTTACTGCTTTTTATTTTTTATTTATTTTTAAATTTTTTAATGTTTATTTCTGAGAGAGAGAGAGAGAGAGAGACAGCGTGAGCAGAGGACGGTCAGAGAGAGAGGGAGACACAGAATCCGAAACAGGCTCCAGGCTCTGAGCTGGCAGTCAGCACAGAGGCCGATGCAGGGCTTGAACCCACAAACCACGAGATCATGACCTGAGCCGAAGTCGGATGCCCAACTGACTGAGCCACCCAGGCGCCCCTACTGCTTTTTATTTTTCCTATTAGTATAATATACTGTATAAATAGATTTCTTACTATTGAATCATGTATGTTTCTAAAATAAACCTACTTCATTTGGTGAATTATTTTTAATGTTTTCTAATTTTATAAAGGCCCTTTCACTTTCATAAAGATTCTAAAAGTGACCAGACTCACACCTGATTTTGTTTTGCATTCCCTCATTTTTATTTTTACAACTGAATGATTAATAAGGCTGTTTTAAACAATTTTGAATCTATGAAAAAGATAGCTTTTTATCTGTCTAGGGTTTTATGTTACTAAAGTTACTCTCAGCTTATTTATTGCTCAAATTTTCTTTTAACAGACATTCCCTTCGGAGAGGTAGCTCCTTCACATTTTTGACACCTGGCCCGCATTGGGACTTCACTTTGGTGAGTAGCAGGCTAGGTTTTTATTTTAAGACACTGATAGAATTAATTCTTAGGTGTCTTTCAGTCTGGTGTACAGCTCAGGTGTCTACACTTATCTGAGTATCTTGAGGTACAGAGTTTCTATTGCCATCTTTGGTGGCCTGATTTAATTCTTTTCTGCTAACAAGGGAAAATTTTATTTCAGTTGAATACAAAACCTATTTTGAAAAGTACCATATCTGTTTATTTTTAGCCTTATACAATCCTTTTATTCCTACCAGTGTGAAAATTAAGAGAATATATGAGGAAATATTAAGTTATTTTTATGTACATAGTCTTAATTGGGTTTTTTTCTTGGTTGAAAAATTTAAAAATGATTGCAGATGGTATATATGATGTATGAATTATTTTGTTACTAATCATCTTAGTATAAGGGACTGTTTCATTATTTTTAGAATGAGATTTACAGAGGCATCTATGCAAACTCACGCCAGAAAATTGATTATTTTTATAATTAAAAACTCATTACCTTATAATACTCCTATAAATAACATCTACAAATAGAGCATGATTCTTATGTTTCCTTATTTGGGGTAAATAGCAAAAATTATTCTGTTTCTAGTTTGCCAAGCTTAACCTGATCATGTGCGGATGGATTCAGCAATTCATACTAATTTGTATTCTGTTCTTTTGTATTTAATTTATATTTCTGTTGGGGACTTCTGTTAAGATTTCTGTACTCTTATACAAATTACATGTATTATTGGTCAGTAAAGCATTCATAGCAAGTCTCCTGATTTTAATATAATTCTGTATCTTCCTTGAAATATTTTTCATCTTGGCTTCTTTCCATTATGAGTTGACAAGTCTAAACTCAAACAGAAAGACTTCAGTGGAGAAATACCTCCAAACTTGATTTTGCAAACGTATCAGCAAAAATATTTTGAACACATGCCCTGATACATTCATTTAGAATGTTTATGTATGTACCACCATTATTAACTAATAACTCAAAGCAGAGTACTTACTTAAGCTGAAGTTCATGATAGTGGACATAAGTCCATATTTCAAATAGCCATGATAATTTTACAGTGCGAAGTCAATTTTTTGGATCTGATTAGATCACCATTGTCTTTAACCTAATAATGTAGGTGATGATGAGCTCATCATCTGTGTATTAAATATTAGTAAAGCTTCTTTTTAAGGATTAATAACTACATACAAAGAGAAGCCCTGACATTTTCTTCCTGCACCCCAGGGAAGATACCTTGCGTGTCCCCTGGGATCAGTGCATCCCACCTGGGAAAACACTTTGTAGAGTTCTCCCCTGATAAAAGGACTAGCTCATGGATCGTGTATTAAAACTTCGGGATTGTGATTAAGGAGTGCTAAGAGGGAAGTTTATAAACTTTTAAATACGTAGTTTAAGAAAGGAACAAAAAGTAAGCATCTGGGAAGCATTTAGAACGAACCAAGGAAAATAGGAGGGAGAGTAGACAAAAATAGAATCAGCCCCACTCATGATGAAGTTCTTGGCAAACCAGGAGTAGAACAGACCTTGCTGAGCCCAAGACCAACACAGACTAAAACATTCCCTTAAAATTTGAGAAAAAGCCTGCTCTCACCATGTCTATTCAGCATCATACTAATAGTGCTTCTAGCCAGCACAGTAAGGCAGGGAAACAAGTGCTGTTCACATTAGAAAGGACAAGATGTCATTACGTACGGACACTATGACTGTCTACATAGAATATCCAAGGGAATATTAATAGCAGCCATTAGAACTAATAAAAGTTCAATCAGGATTACTAGCTCTAAAATTTATAAAAATAATTAAGTAGAATGTATATACATGTGTAATATTCAGTTAAATGTAATTTGCAAAGATGCTTTTATGGAAATAAAAACAATTTTAAAAACTATGAATAAATCTATAAAAAGATCTGTAAGACTTTTATGGAAAAAAATTGGAAAGAATTAGTAAAGAACAAAGACACCAAATTAAATGGAAAGATAGTCATGCAGGGAAAGACTCAATAACATTAAAATGTCAGTACTCCTCATATTTATAAAGTCAGTGCAGTTCTGATAGAAACCCCCTCGAGTGTTAGCACTCTCGTTCTACAGTTCAGGGAGAAAAGTAGAAGGCCCAGAACAGCATTGTGCAAGTCAGAAACGTATGACTTACTGAGGGAGCTGTTAAGACTTACTCCAAAGGTACGGTAATTATGGGCATGTGATGTGGATGTGGGTATAGCCGGTAGAACTGCGGTAAGAGAGAGCCCAGGAATTATGTGCGGCTGAGAGCTGACCAGGGAGTCGTGCGTACAGCACGTGGTTGCATGGGTGAGGCAGCTAGCACGAGAGCTGTCTGGGGAACCATGCTTACAGCACATGGTGGCAGGGGAGAGGCAGCTAGCATGAGAGCTGACCAGGAGCTGTGCTTATAGCACGTGGTGGCAGGGGTGAGGCAGCTAGCATGAGAGCCGCCTGGGGAGCCGTGCTTACAGCACGTGGTGGCAGGGGTGAGGCAGCTAGCATGAGAGCCGACTGGGATCCATGCTTACAGCACGTGGTGGTAGGGGTGAGGCAGCTAGCATGAGAGCTGACCAGGAGCTGTGCTTATAGCATGTGGTGGCAAGGGTGAAGCAGCTCACTGTGCCACTTCATACCAGGTACACATAAATTCCAGATGGATCGAATATATCAATATGAAAAGCAGAACTTTAAAATATTTAAAAGAAAATACAGTAGAGCGTTTTAAAATCTGTTATAGTTCTTTATACATATGCTGACATATGTATATGGTTTTATAGAAATGTGTAAGTACAGTCGTGTACAAGCAGAACTTTAAAATATTTAAAAGAAAATACAGTAGAGCGTTTTAAAATCTGTTATAGTTCTTTATACATATGCTGACATATGTATATGGTTTTATAGAAATGTGTAAGTACAGTCGTGTACAAGCAGAACTTTAAAATATTTAAAAGAAAATACAGTAGAGCGTTTTAAAATCTGTTATAGTTCTTTATACATATGCTGACATATGTATATGGTTTTATAGAAATGTGTAAGTACAGTCGTGTACAAGCAGAACTTTAAAATATTTAAAAGAAAATACAGTAGAGCGTTTTAAAATCTGTTATAGTTCTTTATACATATGCTGACATATGTATATGGTTTTATAGAAATGTGTAAGTACAGTCGTGTACAAGCGTTTTCCTTCAGTGTATACACTTCTTTTTGCCTGGCGGTTTCCTGCGCCTCCCCTTCCTCTCCCGTCACCTCTTCCTTCCCACCACCTCCACTATAACCCAGGTCAGTGATGCCGTATCTGTCCCTCTGTGTTACGCATGTGATTTTTTTTTTTTTAAGTTTATTTATTTTGAGAGCAGAGGGAAGGGCAGAGAATCCCAAGCAGGCTCCACACTGTCTGCACAGAGTCCGATGTGAGGTTCACATCCACAAACTGTGAGATCATGACCTGATCCAAAATAAAGAGTTAGACGTTCAACCAACTGAGCCTCCCAGGCGCCCCCTCTTTTTTTTTTTTTTTTGGCTCATACAATTATCAGAGACACACACAGCCTCACATATTAGATACACGTGCAGGATTTTTGCTTAGTTTGCTTTTCAAAATTAGGATCATATTATTCATAGTTTTTCTAGATCTTCTGGATATGACCTTAGGATCAATAAAGATTTCTTGTCCCTCATTTGTTTTCCTGAAAACTTTACAGAGAGACTTGGTGCAGATAACTTTTCCGACTTCACAGAGCTCCCTCTCTTCTTGTTTTTGCGGTGCCTCACTTCTGAGACTTCCAGGCTCCGTCTGTTTTCCCCATTTTCATCTGAAGTTTATCTTCCCTTTTCTCTCTTGTCCCTGCCCTGCTTGATTTTGATTCCAGTACCCCCAGTTTCTCCTGGGGGCCGTGGCTGGTCAGGTCAGAGAGTTCCAAGAGCGAGTCTGTGTCACAGGCGGTCTGACAAGGCATTTTGAGGTGGGGGCTCCTCTGCCGTACCGAGGGAGGACCGGCATTGCAGATTGTGTCCCGCTTCGCCACTCCAGGGGCCGCAGGGCCAGGCGCCGACGGGGAGTGATGGCTGGCTGGAGCGGGTTTGCTCAGCGGAGGAGTCCTGCTCGGGCCAACAAGTCTTCTTACTCTGGGCCGTGAGAGCCATAGGATAAATAATATGGGTTCCTGTTTTTAAAAAACTTGCTGCCTTTTTGTCTAAAACATATTTTACTTTTTCTCTAACAAGTACAGACAGCGCTTGACTTACATAAGAGTTCTGTTCTGAGAAAGCTCTATGTAAGGGTTTTGAATAGAATGAAATTCGCAGCATGAGATGATTCAGTCGGGGGACTCTTTAAACAGTATAGATGCCAGAGATCATTTATCACTATCCCTCGTAAAAACAATTTCCTCGTGAGTACAGCTTCACTGTTTTCTGGTTTTATGGAGCCTTTGTTTAAGGAAGCAACATGCGGTCCTTCTGTATAAGAATGAAATCTTTTTTTTCATACAGAAAAGAAAGCGGAGAGAGAAAGATGATGATGTCATAAGCCTTAACAGCCTTGATCTGAAGGTAAGCCTTCCTGCTCTGAAAGAATTTAAAAACATACAAAGAATTTAAAGAATTCTAAAAATATGCAGATAGTGTTTTATTTTTGTGCTGTAAGAATAACAAATGCTAATTTTTTAAAAAATTTTAAGTGCAAAACTGAGTACTATTAGCTCTTACATATATTGTCTTTTTTCTGTGTACTTCTTTGTTAAAAACGAGGTGAAAGCCTCCCTCAGAACACTGGTGGGCTTCAGCTGGTGAGGTCACACTCGCTGCGTAGAGAGGCCCAGCCTGCCGTCCAGGGAAGGTAGCGCTGTGGTGAGCGCGCAGCCCTCCCGGGAGAGGCACTGCTGCTCTGCTCGCCTAGCGCTGCTTGTGGGATGGCCGCGTCTGCGTGGTTACGTGACACCTCTGGACCTTCAAGTGTCTGACCGTGCAGGCCAGACAGCTAGTCTGCAGTCCGATGTGGCTGCACACACCCAGCGTGTGACCTGTCACAAACTAAACTCCAGGGCGCACTTGAAAATACTGCCGTATCCTTTTATGTAAAATTGTACTTAAGTCCCCAAACCTGGTATCCCCGGGATTAGTCCATTTTTGTCAGTTAGTGAATTTTACAGAACCATCTTGTTTTAAGAACCTTTTTTAAGGAGTTATGTGAAGGTTATATATGTTGTGAGATTTTTTTTAAATGTTTGGCATCATGTTTAATGATGACAGCTGCTACTTCTTTTTAAAGACAAGGTATTTTATAGGTCGGCGCATCAGCATTTTACCAGATCCAGCAGGGCCAGTGTGTGTGTGTGTGTGTGTGTGTGTGTGTGTGTGTGTGTGTGCGCGTGTGCGTGCGCCGCGCATATGCGCATACATACATAATGTCTTTATGGAAGAATTGTGTGTTTTAAGTGTTAGACTTTTTGCAGAACCGTTTTTAGTTACATTTTAAAATGTTGTATTCAAAGAAAGAAAAAGGATGAAATGGCAACCCTTTTTAGGTAGGCTTCAACTCAGATCATGTACAGAAATAGGACAGTATTCGTGGTTTGCCACTGTAAAATCCGTGGTCCCATCTACTGAGACATACTCCTCTTGTTTACCCCACCTTCCGCAGTTACTACCGTATGATCAAATCACGCTCATTTATCCAACTACTCGCCTACTCGCCCCTGGGTTATTTTGAAGCAAATCCTTCAGGTTGTATCATTTTCTTTGTGTCATCAGATTTGGTGCTCACATTTCCATTGACTTGTCTTACACTTTTTTCTGTTTTCGTTTTGTGCATTTTGTCTTTTGGAGTTGGAATTCATAATAACGTCCATACGTTGTGATTATGTCTCTTAATAGGTTCTTTGGGTTTAATCTGTAGGTTCTCTCTCTAGCTTTTTTGTTTCCTTGCAGCTTTCTGTTGTCAAAGAAGAAATAATGTGTAGAACTTTCCATAGCTCCATGATATTTCTTTTGTCCCTCTTTTCTTTATTTTATTAAATGGATAGATCTCGAGATTGCTTTGAGCTGTGTACTTCCGTTGAGAGGTATATAATATCTTTTTGTGCTGTTATCAGAATTAATTATCATTGCCTAGATTTATTTATTCATTGAAGGTTGCTAAGTGGATATTGTGCCTTGATCACGTCACCTTTATTAACTGGAATACTTCCATGAAAAGAAAGCTTCCCTCATCAACCATTTGATTATTGTGAGGTACTTACTTATACTAAAGGTAGGATACATGCTTGATTCCTTTATCAGTTTTCAAAAGTAATGAGTTTTATTCATTAAAATTCTCTAAAAGTAATTAATGATTTTTTTTTATGATTATGAACTTAGGGATATTTGTGCATGTGTTGTGCTTTGATCCATTTCAGTTAGTACTCTTACAGTGCTTAAATTATCCCGTCTTTGGCTACTGGATGCTGCGTCAGGATGGCTCACTATGTCCCTTTTCCACCCAGTTTTAAGATATACAGCATAATGACATACAGCATAATGTAAATTTAAGGAATGCAATGTATTGATTTCCTGTATCCTTTTGACATGACCTTCACCTTATATCTAGACACGTAAGCCCAGCCTCCTTTTCTCCCAGGTGACAAGTTATTCCAGGCCCACTTGGACATTTTGATGTTGTTGTTTCTTAATGTTTTTTTTTTTATTTATTTTTTTTTAAATTTATTTCTGAGAGAGAGAGAGAGACAGCATGAACAGGGGAGGGACAAAGAGACAGGGAGACACAGAATCCGAAGCAGGCTCCAGGCTCTGAGCTGTCAGCACAGAGCCCGATGCGGGGCTCGAACCCACAGACTGTGAGATCGTGACCTGAGCCGAAGTCGGATGCTCACCCGACTGAGCCCCCGGGCGCCCCTTGTTGTCGTCATTGTTTCTGCTCCACCTGGAATCAGTAGTCATTTCTAAAACCCTGGCTTCCGTGGGAAGTGGTAGAGGCTTATACCAGGGCGTTATAAACACTCCTTGCTGCTGTATTGATTCTTGTTTCTGTGCCTTTTTAATGGACGGAGATAGGAAATGTAGATCATTTTTTCAGATAAAAAAATAATTAGTTTATACTGATACTTCAAATCCAAGATAAAAGTATTTTTACTCATTTGCATCAACCTTACTATCTAGATCTCTCGGCCTCACCAAAATCTCAGTCTTCGGGACACTGACATAATTACTCACTTGACTTACTCACAGTTCAGAGCAGTCTACATTACTGCAAATCACTACTGCAGTGCTATAAATGAGACGACTACTGAAAACATTTCATGTTTTATTTTTTACTTTTTTATTTTTACTTATAAGTTACAGTAAGTATACACAAATTACCGTGTTATTAAATTATTGAACTGGGACTTTTCTATGTGTAATTAATTATGCCAGAAACCGACTTGTTCCTTTTTATTGTTATGAACTACTACTTTTTAAACTTCATTTTTTTCCTAATCATGTAATAAAATTGTATGGAATTTCAAAGTCAGTTCCACAAGATTCTTGTTTCTATTCCTGGCTCTTATTCCTTTCGTACAAAATCCTTTCTTTCTTTTTTAATTTTATGGTTGATTCTTTTACTTTTTAAAATATAAGCAGTTGCATATATATTTGTATATTTCACATTCCTGGCCAAACAGTGGCATGTTGTCTTTCATTATGTGTTCTTTTTATTCTTTCCTTGTTTGTTCTACTTGTGTGTTTTTGCTTTCATATTTCTTTCCATATTTAGTAAGGTTCATGTTTTTGTTCTTTTGGTTATTTTTGCCTTCAATTTCCCCTTTTTTTAGCTCTTATAAATTGGTTTATTCCTATGAGCATATTTTACTTTTTTTTTTTTTTAATGTTTTATTTATTTCTGAGAGAGAGAGACAGCGTGAGCAGGGGAGGGTCAGAGAGAGGGGGAGGTACAGAATCTGAAGCAGGCTCCAGGCTCTGAGCTGGCAGTCAGCACAGAGCCCAATGCGGGGCTCAAACCCACGAACCATGAGATCATGACCTGAGCTAAAGTCAGACGCTTAACTGACTAAGCCACCCAGTCGCCCCCCCATGAGCATATTTTAATCGACTAACACCTCTTCTCCCTCCTCTCCTCTCCTATTAATAAAATTAAGTAATATCTCTTTATTCTACATTAATACATTTAAAATATTGAATGCTTATTTTACCTTGAAAGTACATTCACCATTCTCCCACTTCTTAATAGTTTTTACTGTATCTAAAAGAACAGAGCACATAGGCATTACAAACTGTGCTGTGTACCCTGATAACCATTATTTAGGCTTTAATTCTACAGGTAAATATATATTGAATGCTCAGCACCTTATGTCCATGCCTTCCTACGTTGTGGGTTTCCTGCAGCTCGCTTCCTAGCAAAGGGGTCGGCAAACTGTGGTCCACGAGCCATATATGACCTGCTCATTGAGTCACCTGTATTGTTAATGGCTTCTTTTTAAAACACTGCAGTGGCAGAGGTTGAGTGGCAGTGACAGAGACCATCTGACCTACAAAGACTGAAATATTTGCTACTTGGCCTTCTGCAGAGAGTTTGCTGACCACTGTTCTAGAGTGGAGTAGATGCAGATGCCTTGTTAATGGGAACAGGATTACGGGAATTGCTGAACGTCCACTTCGGTGTGTCTGCAGTCATTAGACTTGAAGGGTAGTTTGAAGGGATATGAAATCCATGACTCATGTTTTCTTTCCTTGGATAAGTAAACATTTCACTCTGTTGTTTTCTGCATAAAGTGCCACTGTTGAAGAGTTACACTAAATATATACTTTTGAGTCATCTTTTATTTTAGGAACATCTCTTCTTACAGTTTTTGTCATTTTTTTCTATTCCACTGTTTTGTCTTCTCTCCCTGCCCTTTATACTTAGACTTTTAAAATCTTTTTATATTTATCACTTTCTTTCAAAATATTTTTCATCTCTTTATGTATCTTTTTCATTTTTAAACTTGTCTTCTTTTTATTTTTTAACGTTTTATTTATTTCTGAGAGAGAGAGACAGTGTGAGCAGGGGAGGGGCAGAGAGAGAGAGGGAGATACAGAATCTGAAACAGGCTCCAGGCTCTGAGCTGTCAGCACAGAGCCTGACGCGGGGCTCAAACCCACGAACCATGAGATCATGGCCTGAGCCAAAGTCAGATGCTCAACCGACTGAGCCACGCGGGCGCCCCTAAACTTGTCTTCTTTTTGTCTTTTTCTCTTAATGCAGTAGACAGATTTTTTTGTTCTGAAATAATTTTTTTAGTTCTATCCCCTCATTTCACATCTTCCTTTCTGTGCCCACCTAATTTTGAGTTTGATGTTCTTTCATAGCTTCTTTAATTTTCTTTTTTATTTTATGCTATAGACAAATTATTCCATTTCACATTTTCTGTATTCTTATAATAGCTTTAAGGGGGATTCATAATTCTTTTCTGTTTTTCTTTTTTTAAATGCAGTGAGTTCTTTGGTCCAGGGGAGAGGAATGGGCCGTGGTAGCCCTTGTTCAGGTCATTGCTCCAGAGCTCCCTCTTCTGTTGTCT